GTGGACATTTTCAAATGACGAATGCATGGCAAATGCAAAATCAAGTATGTAAAAGATCCATTCAAAGGGCAGGACAGGAATAGATGTTTGCTGCACCTCCCCCTGCGGTGACCTTTAGGGCTAATGGCTTTCGCCATGGTCCCTAGGTCTGGCTGGGCAAGGAACCAGCGCCCAGGGGGAGAACAGCAAAACTCCCTGAAGCAGGGGGAGAACAGCAAAACTCCCTGAAGACATAGATAAGACGGAAGCCTGTTGAAAGATAACGACCCTCAGGAGCCACTACAGGAATGCTGACCGCACAGAACCTTATCGCACCTTCTCAAGGCCCACAAACTTTATTCTAATACAACTGTCTCTCTAAAATCTTTTCTCTTTCTAAAATCTTTTCTCTTTCTCTGTCTAAAAAGGTCATTGGTTGCTGATTAAAAAAGAACATACGAAATCTAATAACTAGGCTAATTCAAATGAAACGTTACTAAACTCTTGTGTATTAATAGAACTGTTAGCTTAATAATTTCTCTGTTGTATGCTTAGCCTTGATCTTAATGATAAAAATATTACATTGTGAAAAGTAAAACTCACCCGTGCTAATTAATAGTAATTTAGTAGTGAGCAGTTTAAACAAAAAAGTAATCACATAAAACAAAAAAAAAAATTAATAGCCTAACTACTTAGGAATGCGCCTGGGTCCAGATGTAAATCACTGCCCTGTCAATGATAAGCAAAACCTATAAGCAAGCTGATTTCGTTCACTGATGTTCACCATTCCTATGCTCTTAGAAAACATATATATACTAATCACCAACTCAAAGAAAATTACACTCAGATTTTCACTCTCTTGAAGTGTGTCTGTCATTTCTTTCGCCGACGCCCTGACCACCCTGCACGCTTCTCTCAACCCTGAGACGGCCTCATCGTCTACTGCTGTGCTGGTCCGCAGCAATGTTACTATGACAAAGTGCTAGCACGCAACCAAGGGCTACTCAGGGACCCCAATTTGTTAAGGGGTACATACTCTGGAAGGGGTCCAGGCATCTGCCATACAAAGGCAAAGGAAGCAGATTCTTAGTGTGATAGAATTATATTTTATTTATTTATTTATTTGTGGGACCCTCACCAGTGGCCGGGGATCGAACTGGCGCTGCAGAGGCTGCGGGCAGCCTCGCAACCCAGCGCTCAACCGCTGCGCCACCAGGGGAGGCCCAATGTGATAGAATTTTAAAAGAATTAGTGTGCATAGAGAGAGAAGAAAGGATATTTCTAATAAACCTGAAAATTACCCATCCTTGTGGGCAAATGTGCAGCCAAACAGGGTTGGCCTGAAAGCTTGCCATAAGTTTAAGGTATCTTCTGGTGGGAAACATAAGAAAAGGGTTAGGCAGTTCCCAGGGAGCTGGGGCAGAAGGAAAGATGCAAAAATCAAAATCAAAGTGCAAATCAAGATAATGGTTGCCATTAATATCAAAAAACCTAGCAGCAACAAATGTTGGCAAGGATGTGGTGAAAAAAGAACTCTCCTACATTGCTGGTGGGAGTGCAAACTGGTCCAACTGTTGTAGAGCAACCCCGATACAAAACGGGGTGCCTAACACAACCACTATGGAAAGCTGTCAGGAGTTTCCTCAGTCTACTGAAAATGGAGCTACCATATGACCCAGCAATTCCACTCCTAGGGAGCTACCCAAAGGACACAAAAACATTGATTCAAAAGAACACCTGCACCCCTATGTTTATTGCAGCACTGTTTACAATAGGTAAAACCTGGAAATAACCCAAATGCCCAATAATAGATGCCTGGATCAAGAAGATGTGGTACATATACACAATGGAATATTATTCAGCAATCAAAAAAGATAAACTGGGCTTCCCCTGGTGGTGCAGGCGGTTGAGTGCAGCACTGTGAAGCTGTCCATAACCTCTGCAGTGCAGGTTTGATCCCAGCCGGCCGGCGAGAACCCCACATGGCGCGACAGACTGCTCCTGTCTCGCCTGCTGCTCCCCTCAGCAGTGTATTTCAGTCAGCCTGACTGTTCTGTTCCCCACTCTGTCTCTGGTGAATCCTCTCACCCTCCCACACATCTAGCCTGTACCCAGGTTCTTGTATGCATGAATAAATAAAAATCTTTAAAAGAAAAGATAAACTAACGCCATTCGCAGCAATATGGATGGAGCTAAAAGGAATTATGATCAGTAAAATAAGTCAGAAAGAAAAAGAACAACATAGGATGGTTTCACTTATAGGAGGAATATAGGGGAACCAAACAAGACATCAGGGGAAAAAAACAATAACAATACAAAACACACCAAAACAAAAACAAACAGACAATTATAAACCAGAGATATCCTGCAGGGGAGGAGGAGGCAGAGTGATCGGAGGGAAGAAGGGAGGAGCACAGGGGACTGTGGTGATGGTGCATGGGTGAACTGGTGAAGGAAATTCTATGGGACTACACCTGGGGGAGAAAAAAAAAACAAACATTGTTTAAAAATGAACAACGATGTAAAATATATATAAATAAAAAATATGAAAAAAAATGTCAAAAAAGAGCTATTACAACTCAATAAAGAAAAGTCAAATAATCTAATTTAAAAATAAAAAAAAAAAAAAGAAAATGGCTGCCATTGCCTCTGCCAAGTATCTCTTGGCCTTTGTCTCCTCCAAGTCCCTGGGTGCAGTCGAAACTAGAGAGGCAGGAGCATGGGCTGCCCACCTTCCATGTTATATAGTTTATGTGGCCACCTAGTTCTGTCCCTAATCCCTAGTAGCAAACCAGCTCAGGAAGTGTGGTTCATGGCATACTAGGACTAGTACTCCAAAGTGGGAACAGGGAAAACGGTACTTCCGTTTCATGGAGGTGTACCTTTAACAAAAGTAGAAACAGTTTACTGATATGGTCTTAGAGTCCACATTGCAGTTAACCTTTAAGAAATTGTAATTGTGGGCCTCCCCAGTGGCGCAGCGGTTGAGCGCTGGGTTGCGAAGCTGCCCGCAGCCTCTGCAGCGCCGGCTCTATCACCGGCTGCTCCCTGGCCACCGGAGGAGGATCCCACATGGCGCGCAGACCTCTCCTGCCGCCCGCTGCTCCCCTCAGTAGTGTGTTTCGGTCCTTCTGCCTGCTCTGCTCCCCGCTCTGGCTCTGGTGAATTCTCTCACCCTCCCGCGCTTCTGACTGTACCCAGTGCTTGTATAAACAAACACACAAACAAACAAACAAATAAATAAATAAAAATAAAAAATAAATCTTAAAAAAAATTGTAATTGAACTCAATGTCTGGACTGACATTGCCAAGATAGCGTGCATAAAGGACAACTATTTATTTCCTAGTGACAAAAGGAGACAGTGAAAGTAACATTTCCAAAGAAACTGTCTTGTAAAGGGGGCAGCTATTGAAGCTATATAGTATTGTTTAGTGTTAGGGGGTCTTCTGGTTTCTACTCCTTTCAGTCAGTCTCATCAATCATTCCTTACTGTCAACTGCAATAAGACATACCTTTGGGGACATGAAAGTTCATTATATGCATGATTGTTATATCATCTAGGTTTTAATTATGGGCAATTATGTATAAGGTGTATAAGGTGATCTATGCCTTATAACCTGGACCAACAGGAAAAATTCCTTAACTCTTACTAACCCTGTGCTCACCAAACCACCACTTACTGAGTCTTGATGTAGTTTCAAAAATAATACTGACATTCATTTGAAAATTAAAATACTCCTTATTTCCAACTAGTAGCTCTGAGATTCGGTGTTTTCTTATGCTTCAATCAAAACAATATACAGTAATGCAGTGAATGCAGAAACATGCGAGAATCTTTGTATCATGTTAAGGCAGATCGTAATGAACTTTGCAGTAATATAAAACTGTTATCCTTCTCATAAAACTTTTATTGCTTTGAAGAATATTAATTTTTAGTAAAATGTAACATGTAATTGCTTTTTAATAGCTATTTAAAAACGAACATTTTAAAATTTTCTCTCCTAATTTCTAACATAGTAACTTTCAATAAGGATAACACATGTAAACAAAAGTTCTTTGCAGTCTTGAATAATTTTAAGAGGGTAAATGGGTTCTAAATCCCAAAAGTTTCAGAACTACTGTTGCAGGGTAATTTATCTGAGTTTGATTTTATTTATAATTCATTAGAGCCCATACATTATGAAGATATACGTTAACTTGTAGATTTTAGTCCAGTGAGATGCAAATCATTTCTATCCACTAGAAAAGATAACTTTGAGGGATATCAGTTAGCTCTGTATACAACTGAACAATCTTACTCTAATATTTTCTCAACATGTCTGTAAATAGCCAGTTCCTCCAAATGCTCTTTGAAGCAGTTTCTATCACACAACACTATATTTTGTTAAAATGTTGGATAAAATCTAAGGTGTTCATTATACATTTACATGAGTTATATTTAAATTTTTGAAGATTATACTGTGACACTAGGACATGATTATATGACACATATTTGCGTATATTGTGCATATGCATACCACATCCACGTGTATTTCAGGAATGCATACCTGATACTGTGCCTTGCTCTTTCCACTCAATATTCGAGCATGCGCTCACCTCACATTTTCTTTCTTTTACTCACGCACGCACCTTAAACTTAGCCAGACACACAAATGGCAAACACACATTCCCTCTCTGACCACCTGTAGAAGCTGTCCAAAGACGCCCAGGCGGGAATCTATCCACAGAGCGGCGTGCCTGGACAACCACGTGACAGCTCCGCCTGCTCACTCGAGGCTGCCACCACTCTTCCGCCCACTTCCAACATGGCCTCTAGGCGCCCTCAGTCCTGCAGCCAGGGTTGTCCTTCGCCTAGAAGCCCTTGGGGTTCACGTCAGCTCGTTAGTGAGGGCACTCAGGAGCGCTCGTGTGGCCGGGCGGGGCTGTCCAAGCGCAGCTGCGCCGCGGGGGCCGACCCAGCGCGGACCGGAAGTTTCCCGGGTGCGCAGGCCAGCGGAGCCGTTACCTCAGCGCGCCGGAAGTGGCCGCGTCAGACCGAGCCCGCAGTGAGCAAGCTTCCCTGCGGGCGGGCTACGCCATGGAGTCCGGAGCGGCCGAGCTGTACGACCAGGCCCTGCTGGGCATCCTGCAGCACGTGGGCAATGTCCAGGACTTTCTGCGCGTGCTCTTTGGCTTCCTTTACCGCAAGACCGACTTCTACCGCCTCCTGCGCCACCCGTCCGATCGCATGGGCTTCCCGCCCGGGGCCGCCCAGGCCCTAGTGCTGCAGGTGAGGGCTGGGCGGGGGAGGCCCCACCCGCGCATCCTGGCCACTTGTCGGAGATCCCCCACTTGGGCGTTCGGCCGCGACCATCCTCCCTTGGCCTTCTCGGTCCAGTCTCTTGGAGCTCCCACCTGCGTCTCCAGTCCCAGGAGTCCGCCTCTTGAACGTTTTGTCCCTTCCTTTGCTCTCGGCCTCAGTTTCTTTCTCAGGTGCTTCCCTGGACCTGCCTCTTGCGGCCGGCGCTGGAATAAGCTGATGTCGTTACTCTAGTGGGGGAGTGGAACTGGCTTTCGAGCAGTCTTGTCTGACGCGGGAGGTACTTGGGAGTCAGGAGTAGTAACGAGAATCTCGCTTAGGGCTCTGTAAGATCCCCTCAGCGCATAATCCTTCGTGGTGCCCAGGGCTGCTAGTCAGGGAATGGAAATCATACAGGCCAAGGGAGTGGGTTACAAAGACTAGGTGTGTAAGGGAGAGTGTTGATTGGTGGGTGTGGTCCCTTACTTGAAATGTGACTTCCTAGATCAAAGACAGCCTTCGTAGCACTTATTAAATTTACAGTTGACGCCTGTATATCCCAAGTGAAATGTAATATATGCTTGAGGTGCTATTAATCCTTATTCAGTGAAGTTGACTGGGTACTTTGGAATGTAAACAGCAAGTATTACAGAATGTGTTTACACTCTCAGCTGCCACAGGCGTTGGCGATGCATTGGTGATATGCATGGTGAAGTAATGGTTTCTGCCCTTGTTACACTTACGTTAAGAGAGCATGACACAGACAGCAATAGAGGTGTGACAAAACCCAGTGGAAGGAAAGAAATAAAAATGATAGCTGAGAAATCAAGATCGACTTTGTAGGGGAGCTGAGACTTTGATGGGATGGAAAGGAGGTACTCAGTCAAGCATTGAGCCTGCTTCTAAGAACCTGGGAAGATAGAAATGCTAATGATACCTCCCATAGTTCTTCTGGCACTTTACAGTTTATTATGTAGGTTACTTTTGGATGTCTTGCTACAGGTTATGGTTGGTTAGGTATTTTCCTCATCGCCTGCGTGGAGAAACAACGTAAAAATGTGGTCAAATGAGGAGATGGGCTTGGGAGTATATTTTAGAATTTAAGGCTAATCCTCATCCTTTCAGTGATTAATTGCCATCTGAGTGATGGCTTTGAGCAGGAACTTATGGTAATTTAATGCTTTCATGGAAGTTCTTGAGAGAAATCGATATGATTGACTTGTATGGCAGACAAGGGTACCGATTCAGCTTGACTAGCCCATTTGACCAAACTCATCTTAGGACTGGAACTGAAAATTTCATTTTTCTGATTTCAGGTCTTTCTGTTTTATTATTTAACTTTTCCATAGAAGAGTAGGAACTTTTGTCTAAGGTGATTGTAACTTGCAGAAAAGACGTAGAAGAAAAAGAAACCTTTACTTAGTACATAGTATGTATTGACTATTATGTTAGGTGACCAGTTTAATGAAGTGGGACACAGGGCAGAGGGAGGGGAGGGATGAATTAAAGATGATCTAAGGTTTCCAACCTGGGCACCTAGAATAATGGTAGATAATGCGTTAGTTAAACTGTCACCTGAGTTTAGGGGAAATATGGTTTTAGACAAGTTGAATTTGAGATTGCAGACAGAAGCACCTCCCGCCTCCCAGGCTTTTAGAGTCATGTGATTGGATTTTGTGGGAGATGGAGCAATCAGTTTGAGGGAGAGACAAGAGCTGAAGGTGATGATCCCCATGAAGGAATGGGAGCAATGGGGGGGTTGGAGTGAAGTGGATTGGGCTGTAAGTTTCACTGAAACCAAGGACGGTTTCCATCAGCTGATTAAGAGGGGTGTAGTGTTATCTGCAAGTGATTTCCTATCATCAGCCTCACACGAGGAATTTTCAACATTCTCTGAGTTTTCTGACTGGGTAGATCAGGGTTGATCCCAGGGAACTGTTCTCCCCCCCCCCCCCCACACACACAGAAGCCATATGGGTAAAGACTTAAGAGGGTGAATTCAGTACTGTGCTAGAGTTTCATTGTGGCTTTGGATGTTAGGATATTTGTCAGACTGAATGCCTTGATGTGGTACAACATTACCTCTCAGTGGTGTTAGGTGTACTCTTGACCCCACCATTCCTTTTCTCCCTCTAGGGGTTTTCTTCTCTACCCTGACTTAGAGGCATAACGCCCCTTCCTGTGGCCATTACAACTTGAGGTGGGTGCTTGGGGGGGTCTTTTCAGAACACAGACAAAGAGGGTTTGGATGGGAGTGTTGGCTTGATCTTTTCTGGAACTCAAAAGCTTTCCCCCAATATTTTAGGGTTTGGCCTGTTGGCGTAGTATAAGACTTGTCAATCTTTTCTTCCTAATTTTAAGGGTTTCCACAGTGTGTATGCATAGTTTGAAGGGCTATAGTTTGCACAGTGTGAAAGATATATGTGAAAATTGCATTCCATTCTTAATATATTAATATATTTTAAGAAAAAAATAGTTTAGAATGACATTTCATTCATTGCAGTTGATACTCTTTGTTTACATGGAGTTCAGTTTGAAAAGCTTGCTTAGTGGAAGTCCAGTGTATCCCTCCCAACTTCTGCCATGATGTTCAGGAAAGAACTCTATCTGATCCTCATAAAACTTGTTGGAAAATCTTGGAAAGGTTACTTGGAGGTCACAGAGGTTTTGACTAACTCCATAATCCTGTGATTCTAGAGGAAAAACCACAGTGATATCAGAAGTGAAATAGATGGCAGTTTTGAGGAGGCAGGGCCAGGTAAAGGATTACAGGTCCAGAGTCTGAGGGAGGTTCCTAGATGGTAGGTCAGAACCCTTAATATAGGTTTTTTTTTTTATTTTTTTTTTGGTGGACTTAAGATGAAGATCTGGGGCATCAGAAGATACTCATCTTGTCAGCAAAGGGTATTAATATCATTAATATGGATGTTAGAGAGCAGTGAGTTGAGTTCAGGGTTCTGAAGAAGTAGAAGTGGGTCTGGTAGTATAACCAGTTTTTAGCCTTAGAGTTTTATTTATTTCCTTTTCAGTACATCTCCTTTCAGTGCTTGGTGCTTCTTAGAGAATTTTTATTTTTTTCATTGGCTGGTAGGAGGACCTTGGGCAAGTTACTTAACCTCTCTGAATCTTATTTTTCCTCATCTTTGAAATGTGAGTACTGTTTTCCTCATAGCATCTTCTCCTGGTGGTTTTTTGTAAAAATATTTGACATAGTTTAGAATATTAGTATTCTTTTGTTATTTTCCTGATCAGTGCATAGAACATGATTATTTAATATAAGTTTACATTCTAGTTTTTGGAAACTGACTCCTACCCATTTAATCTTTTTTATTTTTAACTTTTATTAAGACTTTTTAAAGAGCATCTTTTGGTTTACAGCAAAATTGAGGGAAAAATAAAGAAATTCTTATTCCCTGTCCCCTTCATGCCCAGGCTCCCTTATTAACATCTCCATGGGAGGGCCTCCCCCGGTGGCCCAGCGGTTGAGCGCTGGGCTGTGTAGTTGTGTAGCTGCCCGCCGGTTTGATCCCTGGCCACCAGCGAGGGTCCTACATGGCATGCAGACCTCTCCTGCTGCCCGCTGCTCCCCTCAGCAGTGTATTTCATCAGTCTGCCTGTTCTGTTCCCTGCTCTGGCTCTGGTGAATTCTCTCACCCTCCCACGCTTCTGACTGTACCCAGTGCTTGTATAAATAAATAAATAAATCTTTAAAAAAAAACAAAAAAAAATCTCCACGGGAGTGGTACATTTGTAACATGGACACATCATAGTTATCCAAACCTGTAGTTTAAGTTAGTGTTAAGATAGTGTTCACTGTTAGTGTTGTTTGCATCATGGGTATGGGCAAATGTATAATGAAAAGGGTCCCTCATTGTGGTATCAGACAGTATTTTCAGTGTCCTAAAAATTCTCTGTGCTCTGCTTGTGCAGTGCTCCCTACCCTGACCACTGATGTTTTTACTACGTGAATTTGAAAAGCTTTGCCTTTACCAGAATGCCTTAGAGTTGGAATTATATAGTTTGTAACCTTATAAGATGAATCTTTCACTTCCTGGTATGCTTTTAAGCTTCCTCCATGCCTTTTCATAGCTTGACAGCTCATTTCTTTTTAGCAGTGAATAGTACTCAATTGTTTATCCATGTACCTATTAAAGGACGGCTTGGTTACTTCAAGTTTTGCAATTGTAAATAAAGCGGCAGTAAATGTGTTTCCAGTTTTTTGTGGACATGAATTTTCAAATATCCAGGAGCATTGTTGCTGGGTTGAATTAAGAGTCTGTTACCACCCACTTTACCAGGTGGATCTCCCAGCTTTCCCTCCTTCAGCTACTCAGGAGCTATTATTTGAGGGCCTTACTTGGAGCTGTGCCATTTCCTCCTCTAGTTTGCGTGGAAGATAAGCCTTTCATTCAAGGTCTGATTCAGAACCCCTTCCCTCTAAGAAATTTCTTTCCCCAGTTAATGTTCAATAGCTCCTTCATTCTGATGGTATTACAGGTGTTCATCACTGTTTGTCCTGTCAGATTTGTCACATGTGTGCCCTTGGATGATGCATGTAAAATGTCATGTTTTTGTGTAGTGTTTGGGCGGAGATTTCTAGTGTTTTCTGGGTTTGACTGTGTCCCAGGAAAAATTAAGGACTAATCCACACACCATAATTGAGTTGTTAGAGGGTGAGTGCTGTTATTTGAACTTTTTGTGATCCATTTGTAGTCAAATGGTGGATGCTTGTTGAACTGAATTTCCAAGCTTTTGAAGACCCACATCTCCTGTCAGTTCACACTAAGAGACAGCAGCAGTCCAGTAAGTCTGCTTGTATTTTTTCATTGAAGTTCAGCTACATTTTCATCTTCCCACTGGGTGCCTTGAGATCTTGGTGCCTTTATAACTCTTAGTGAGGACAGTGTTCTTTGCATGTTGATTAAGACTGGCAGCTGTAAACATGGCAGATGAGACTACTTAGTTTTGCATCCTTTAGACTCAAAAGTTGGATTCATAGACGTGTAAATATCATGAACCTTGCCTTGTAAGTTTTCATTTTTGTTGATTTTGGACTCCTGTTTTGTGCAGCAGCTTTTGGTGAAGTACAGCTTTTGATGAAGTGGAAGTGCTTTTCTCTTTTGCCAATGGAAACACTCTTAATTTACTGCTTCTTCATTCTCTTACTGTGGCGTAAGGAACTCATTGCTGCATTGCTGTTTGATTTCAGGTATTCAAAACCTTTGACCACATGGCCCGTCAGGATGATGAAAAGAGGAGAAAGGAGCTGGAGGAGAAAATCAGGAAAAAGGAAGAAGAGGAGGCTACAGCTGTGGCAGTGGCTCCAGGTGGGCAGGACCCTGTCCCAGTCCCAGTTCAGGAGGTGGAGATCGACTCCACCACAGATGCTGATGGGCCTCAAGAACCTCCGGGTCCACAGGGCACGGTTCAGGATGTGGCCCACCACTTGGGGGAGGTAGCGCCGGCAGGAGCAGATGCTGGTACGGCTGAAGTTCTGAGGGAACCACCAGCTCCTTCCAAGTAAGAATGTCAACTTTTTCGCTGACATCTGGTGGTTGGGTTTGTTCATAAGCATTTCTTTGTAACACCCCAACTCTTTATCTCATTATTTAATTCTTCATATTTGTAAATTGCACACAGAACTTGGGTTACATAGGAAGGGAGGTCAGTTGACTCCATTATTCTATTTTCGCCCTCATAAGGTAAGATGATAATCTGCCCACTGTTGCACAACTAATTAAAAGTTAGCACCAGAATTAGAACACTTGGCTCACGGAGTTATACTTGTCTTCTCGACCTACCTGTATTCATGTGTGGGGCTTAATTTCAGGGTCTTGACTCATGTTTTGTTTCCCTTCAAGGGCACTGTGCAACCATGATCCTCTAGGTCTAATGTATACCTGAAGAGGCCATCTGATAGGGGGAACTGTAGAGCCAGAGCCTCCTTAGACTCTGCCACCTGCTAAATATAGTCCCTTGCACAGATAGTATTGCCTTTCTCTGTCTCATTTTTCTCCCTTGTGAAATGGAGGAGATAATGACAGCTCTTCCTTCATAAGGCTTTTGTGAATATTGAACGGTGCCCAGGCCATGCAGCTAATGAGTGGCAGGTGTCAATCAAGTCCCGTGCCGCACTTCTATTTAAATTTTTTTTTTAAGATTTATTTATTTATTTATTTATTTATACAAGCACTGGGTACAGTCAGAAGTGTGGGAGTGTGAGAGAACTCACCAGAGCCAGAGCGGGGAGCAGAACAGGCAGAAGGACCGAAGCACACTGCTGAGGGGAGCAGCGGGCGGCAGGAGAGGTCTGCGCGCCATGTGGGACCCTCCTCCAGTGGCCTGGGAGCAGCCGGGGATCAAACCGGTGCCGCGGAGGCTGCAGGCAGCTTCACAACCCAGCGCCCAACCGCTGTGCCAGCGGGGAGGCCCATATTTAATCTTTAGAGTTCAGTGTCCTGATGCTTTGAACTAGTTATATGGCCCTTCCCTGCACCTGTTTGCATACCCTTCTGTGGAAGTTGTGGCAGTGTCTGAAAGACAGTGTGATGTTGCCAGCCTGCTTTGTGTTTAGGGAAATCTGCTCTTCCTCTTATCCCTTCTCTGTTTTAATTTCCCTTCTGTTCCTCCTTCTACTTTCCCTCTTCCCCTCATCAGTTTTGGGGGAGTCTTTGAATGTAGTTTCTAGATAATGAAGCAAAGTAAACAGCTTGGAGTGACATAAAATACTGGCGGGGGAAATAGATTTTGTAAAGTAAGTTGGGGCAAGACTGCAGGCTAAGCTGAATGATGGGGTTCCCGGAGAAGAGTTGTTGGGTAGCTGGGTGAACCTAATTGCGATGGTCCCCATTCCACCATGCTTTTAAGGTATTTTTCATTAATTTCAGCTATTTGGTCATGATTTGATTTGGTTTTCTTTGTGTTTATGCTTGCTTGGGGATTTTGAGTGTCTTTCAGATTCTGTGGTTGGTTTTCTTCATCTCCATTAAGTCTCTTTTCATTGTGCTGTCTGTGGAATAGTTTCTGTTGCCTTCAGTGAAATTTACTGTCTTCTCTCTTTTAGTGTCTAATTGTCACTTAAATGCATCAATCCATCTTATATTTCAGATAAAGTATTTTTCAGCTCTGCAAGGTCCATTTGATCCTTTTTTATGTTTTTGAGTTCTGCCCTCATTGATTTCCTTTAAATTGTTTAATATAGTTATAATAGCTATTTAAAATCTTACTCTGATAATTCCATCGTCTCTGTCATTTCATGGTTTGTCATTTTTCTTCATTGCATTTTCTCTTGATTTTGGGTTGCATTTTCCTGCTTCATTACAAGTCAGGTGATTTAATATTGGAAGCTAGACATTGTGAATGTTAGGTGGTTGTGTTTGTGGATTTTGATTTTTTCCTTTAAAGAGTGTTAAGTATTAATTTTACAGGCAGTAAATTTATTTGCGGGTTGGTATGTTCTTTTAGACCTCTTTTTCCTCAAAGATCTCACATTTAGGGCCTCCCTGGTGGTACAGTGGTTGAGTGCTGGGCTGCGAAGCTGCCCACAGCCTCTGCAGCACCGGTTCGATCCCCGGCAGCCGAGCGAGGGTCCCACATGATCCGCAGACCTCTCCTGCCGCCCGCTGCTCCCCTCAACAGTGTATTTTGTCGGTCTGCCTGTTCTTTTTCCCGCTCTGGCTATGGTGAATTCTCTCACCCTCCCGTGCTTCTGACTGTACCCAGTGCTTGTATAAATAAATAAATAAATATTTAAACAAACAAAAAAAAAAAGCTACTGAACTCACATTTATTACTGACCCAGCCTAGGTACCAGAAGCATACAAACAAAGAGAAAGTAATTTCCTAAACATTTGTAAATCTTGGTGTTCTCACTGTACTACGGTAAGATGCTAGTGATCTTGATGAAGCATAAATATGTGCACCATCTCGTGTGTAGTTCTCCTTATAGGCCCAGCTTCTTCAGTGTTTTTTCTTGGAGTTGCACCTGATTTTATTACCAGTTTTCATCCAAAACCATTGGGGTATGGGATGATTCCTCTTTTGTCTCTTGGCCAGGAGTTGCTTGATCCTGAAAGTCTTATGAGATTTTGTTAAGGATCAGTGTTTACTGCTTACAACTTGATAGCAGAGAAAAGGAGAGAAAGATAAAGGGGTGGAAAGACATAACAAAAACTTGTTTTTAAGCTTGTTGGTTGTGTGTCCAGAGTACCTTTCATTCTAGGGCTAGGTTAATCCCGCTCTAAAACATGCCTGTCTGAGCTCTGGGTATTGCTCAGGTTGGTGACCCAGGAGTTTTCTACTGGCCTCATGCGGTCATACTATATGTGCTTTGCAATGTAGTATTCTGCCAAAGACTCAAGGGATTCTGTACAGTTTTCTGAACTCTGTGTGTAGCTTTATCAGTAGTCTTTTTATAAAGTAATTAGATATGAGAATGAAGATTGAATATCAAAATTTCAGTTTCATTTATTCCAGCTCTACTTAATACCAACAAAATTTTGGAGGAATGATGGATTGATAGATTTTCCCCAAGGGAATGGTTAAGTATGCTACTGTTTTTTTAAAAAATTTATTTATTTATGCATACAAGAACTGGGGTACAGGCCAGAGGTGTGGAGGGTGAGAGGATTCACCAGAGACAGAGTGGGGAGCAGAACAGTTGGCCTGACTGAAATACACTGCTGAGGGGAGCAGCGGGTGAGACAGGAGAGGTCTGCTGTGCCATGTGGGTTGCTCCCTCGCCGACCAGGGATCGAACTCCTGCTGCAGTGGCTTCATAGCTTCTTAGCTTCATAGGTTGCATCTTAACCCCTTGTGCCACCAGGGAGGCCCCAATATGCTAAGATTATTAACACAGATATTGTGATGGTCACTTTTATATGTTAACCTGGCTGGGCTATATCCCTATTTACTCAGTCGAATGCTGATTTGAGTGTTGTTGTGAGGGTGCTCCGTAGATATAGTTAAAGTCCATAATCAGTTGACTTTATGTAAGGGAGATTATTCTAAATAATATGAATAGATCTAGTCAATTAGTTGAAAAACTTTAAAAGCAGAGCTAAGGGTTCTCTCAGGTAGAAGAAATTCAGCCCATGGACAAGCAGCTTTGCCCTATTTCTGGAGAGTTCCGCAATGGCTTGCTCTCTGGATTTTTGGACTGGCCTAGTCAGTCTCTGCAATCATGTAAGCCCATTCTCTACATAAATCTCAATATATTTTTGCTGCTGGCTTTGTTTCTTTGGTTGAATCCTACCTTACTCAGATGTTCTGATGATAAAATGTTAAGAAAAGCAATCTTCAAACTAATAACAAATCGGGAAAACACTTAAAATTTATTGTATATGCACAGAGAAGACAATCTGGATGGAAAAAATTAATAGTGTTTATCAGTTATCAGTGTTTTTCATTTTCATCTTTGCCACATAGTATATTTTCTAATTTTTTTACAATGAGTATATTTTACTGATTTTTTTTTTTTTGCACTTTCCATCATTTCTAAAATCTTTATTAAAAGAGGGGATTTGTTTTTATTTCTGAGTATGGTATGTCTTCATTTAACATCAATAGGTTCTTGGAAACTATGACTTTAAGTGAAACTACCTATGTTGAGACCAGCTCTTTGAATAATGTCATTTTGTTCAACATTGGCTGGGATTCTTTTTTTCTCATTAATGTCATAACAAGGTGATATTGAGTAAAGGACATTATCTGAAGACCAGCTATTATAGATTAGAACAGCTGCCTTGGTTGTCTTGTGGAAACCTTGTTTTTCTGCTGTTGAACTGACAAGTCGTGTTTTGGGTTAGAATTGGAGTTAGTTTTGCAAGTTCTATCCAGTATTATTAGAGTGAAGACTTGAATTTAATGTTTCTGGAAACCATAGACTGGTGCTGTAAAACCAACATTTCCAAGGACTGGGTTGTTCTCAGTCTTCAGTTACTGAGCTGGTTTTCTATGAACAAAACAGGTAGTTGTGGTCTAAGTTTCTTCAGTTTTCTTCTGAAATGCACTGATTTGGCAGATTTGAAAATGGAATATAGAAGCCATTCTTTTCCCTCTTCTACTTTTAGTGGTACCCCAAATCCCTCCAATCTGTGTGGAGTATCATTTATTCTATAAACTGTCAATCTTGGATTTTGTAATTTAATTATTTCAGGTAGCTGCTGTGTAGATGACCACGCAGAAGCACTGCCTATTCTAGGCACCAGTTACTTAGAATTCAGGTCTTGGATGGTTGATTTGTTTGCCACACATTTGCTGGTGGTAATGCCTAATATTGGAGAGTAGTGACAGCAGACATTACCTTCTCTCATTCTACAGTAAAGTGACACACTTTAAACAAATGCTGTAAGTGCATTCTTACAGCATTGCTATCTAAAGTCAAGACAGAGGAAGCATCTGTCAGCTCAGGTCCCTGCCTCTTTGGGGTTACCTCTTCCCCCTTCCTGGGCCCTGCCTACATTGGGTCAGTTTTCTCTCTTAAGGTTTTATAATACATAAAACCATTTAATGTTTTGGGG